GGGGCCGTGCAGGCTCTTCGGGTGCTGGGTCGCACCCGTGCATTACGCGAGTGGGTAGCCGTGGAGGCTGATTGTACCATTTGGCTTGAGCAACGGAGCCACAAAGTTTGTGGTCCACTCCCGGTGAGACCTAAGGCCAGAGCAGGTTCTTAGGTGACACCATCCGTTGCAGGAGTTGCACCTAACCCGGAGAAGAAGGATGCGGAGCAATCCGGCTGCAAGGTATTGCTCCATGGACGGATAATGATTGGTGGATATCGCCGATCTAGACGGGGTTAGATCGCCGAAACAACAGCCCTTGATCGGGTGNTGAACGGATAATGATTGGTGGATATCGCCGATCTAGACGGGGTTAGATCGCCGAAACAACAGCCCTTGATCGGGTGAAACCCGAGTCATTCCGGTACGTAGAACCGGCTGTCGTGGGAAAATTGTCGACATACTTTGTATGGAAAAAACGGTGTTTCACGTGTTTCAGCGTGTTTAACCAAAAAAATTCTCAAAAATCAACGGAATTTTTTAGCCGCTTGAAACTTGCACTTCTTCAGACTAGAATTGAATGTGCTACAAAACTGCAAACCAGAATTTTTTCTAAAGATTCTGATTAAAAAGTTTGAAATTTGGGTGAAAAATTGCAAAATTTTTATAATTTTTATACAAAGTTTAAAATCTGAATTTATATGGTGATTGTTGTACAGCCCAGCCAGCTAGGCTTTTATAAAAAAATAATAAGCATTAAATAAACAAAAGNGTGGTGATTGTTGTACAGCCAGCTAGGCTTTTATAAAAAAATAATAAACATTAAATAAACAAAAGACAAATAGCCAAAACTGGTCAAAATATCGCACTCCTATTATTTTGTGGACAACTGTAAATATTATTTGGTGCAATTGAAGGCTGCAATTTAGTTTCGCATACCCGGAGTTCAGCATTAAGGTAACTATGGAACGGTAGGGGGAGTTCTGATTGCAAATATAGAGTTTTTAGCTTATAGTTTTTAAGTTATTTGTTGTTAACGTTTGTAAATTGAACTAACCTCACAGCGCTATTTCACACAATAAGCACTATATTTACGTACACACTTCGGCAAAATAGTTGCAATAAAACCCCGCACAACGAAATATAAAAATATTTTTTACATTTATATATTTTTAGTAAATTAAGTATGTTTTTAAAATTATCACGCCTTCATATATCTACACGCACATTCTGAATACAGAACTGTTTCGACCATGGTTTCACACTGACATTAGAAGAGTACTGTCACATCTAAGAAAATAATAAAAGAGATTAGTTTTTATCTTACCCGTTTACACCAGACAGAGTACTTTTTCGCAGAACACCTTTCTGCGTAGCCGGCCTGCGGCCGTGCTTAGGGATTATAACCCTCAAAAAGTAGAATTCTCTTTCTGTGTTGCGAAGAAAAGGGGCTGAACACATTTTGCAGAGAACACCTTTCTGCGTAGGCCGCCTGCGGCCGCGCTTAGGGATTATAACCCTCATAAGTAATACAATTATGTATTATTTTTCATATTTTAAAGCCAAAACTACTAAAAAACGAAAAAAATATCGTAATTTTTTCATAAAATGACCTTTGAAAAAAAGACGTGTATAATGCCAAAGAAAAAGCCCAATTTATGAACCGATTTTGTTAATGCAAATTCGAAACGTTTCATTATTTTCATGATATTTTTTTTTTCATTCGAAACATACACTGCCGGAACAAAGTATTGGCCCTGGAAATTTTTCACAATATATGCAACAATTTTTATTCTAATATTTTTCCGCCAATTTTTTATAAAAATATGGCTCATTCACCAACAAAAAACATAAAAATATAACTCCTAAACTTTTTTTCGAGTATGCAGTTTTGCAGCCCATTAAATTCTAGAAAATAATGCAAGTTCGCAGTTAGTCAAAAATCGCGTTGATTTCTGAGAATTTTTTGGTTGAAGGTGTTTTGCATTTTTTCCATATAAAGTATTTTCGAAAAAAATTTTTGTATGGAAGAGACTGCGGGAAAAAAATTGCCAAAAATCAACGGTAATTCCTTGCTACTTAAAGCTTGCACCTTATTATAATAGATGTAATTAGGCTACAAATCTGCATACTAAAAAAACTTCTAAAAAATTGATTAAAAAGTTGAAAATTTTTATGAAAATTTGTTTAATTTTCCCGAGTTTCGCAGAGGTTTAGGAATTATATTTTTGTTTTTTTTTGTAGAATGAACCATATTTTTATACAAAATTAGCGGAAAAATATTAGAAGGAAAATTGTTGCATATATTATGAAAAAATTGCAGTGCCAATACTTTGTTCCGGCAGTGTATATGTACATATACATACATAAAATGCTAGCCGTTTTCGTTGTTCGGACTAAACTCAAAAACCAGTCAAATTGTCGGAGATTATACCTTGCGTATATGCTCCTATTATAGCCTACTAGACAACACACTGGTGGCTCTGGAGTGGAGTTACTTACAAAAGTCGTATTTATTAACCGATTTCGTTCAAATTCGCAAAGTGTGTTACCAGTATGATGAAAAATTCGTTTAAGTATGCATGTAAAGACCGCAACATTATGTAAGCGCACCTTTGCCTGACGCCCCCATACACCCTAAATGCGATTTCGCACCTACCTCCTATTGGCGAAATTGCTCGGGGCGGGCGTTAGTACAGCAGTNCCTAAAGGATTCGTTTAAGTATGCATGTAAAGACCGCAACATTATGTAAGCGCACCTTTGCCTGACGCCCCCATA